TATTTTATGAGGGGCCTTAACTTTTAAGTTTTTTATTATTTATTTGCAGACTATTTTTTTTTATCTTTTCTTAGATACAAGTTATTAATAATTTTCTTATAATCAATAACTCCTAATAAGTATTTCTCAATTGATGACATTATTGTTCTTAGGTAAGATTTTATTAATTTTAATTTTGAAAGCTTCTTTCCGCTAAAGCATCGGTAACATGAGTTATGAATATTATTTCATAAGATATTTATGCATTTGGAAAAAAATTTAATCTTTTCATTTTATTAAATGTATCAATTAAACCGTTATCTTCTAATTGTACTATTTTTCTTAATACTTTTAGTTCAGAAAATAAATCTAAACTATCAATATCGAATTGATTATTATAATTTAAGGAACATTCAAGATTAAGGAAATATATTTTCAAATTTCCAACATCTAGTGATCTTAGTTTTTACTGCCAAATAGAATACCAAAAATATTTTCATATGCTTCGAATTGTTCAAATCTATTTTGGAATGAAAAACTAGCCTTGTCTATTATGTATAAAAGTAATCAACACTATAGGACTCTTCGAATGATTTTGAGATTTTATTATCAACATTAGCATCAAATTGTTACTTCCTATATATCACACGTTTCTTACGAAATTTAGGTTCGATATTCATTTCAAGTGCAATTTGGTAGAAATCATAGCAGTTGCAAATCCTTCTTGTTTATATTTGTTAAAGAAAGAAATCAAACTTTTTCACTTTACATAACTCTTTTTTAAAGGGATTTTTTCCTAACTATACCATATATGAAACCTTATTACCAAATATGTGTATAGTATGTATATTACCGCCCAGTCCACAGTTTATCTATAATTTATATACCATTCGTTATTTAGGCAAAATTTGCCATTTTTAGCGCGCGAAAAATCAGCCACAGAATCTGGGATTGATTTATTCCACATTAAATTCAAAATTTGAAACGGAAACGAGATCTCGAAGCTGCGTAATTTTGAAACGGAAAGGAGATTTCTGTTCTTCATCTTCATCTTCATCTGTTCTTCCATATATTTTCCACCATTGATAGCCATTAAAAAGCTTGAAAGCTTTGAATTCAAATTTGGTTTTTCAAAAATCATTATTTGTTTGGATTGAGTGTTGTTGAAAATAATCGGGAATAATGTTTGAAGTTTATATCTCAATTTTGAGGGGTTATGGTGAAGATTAGACTTGGTTTTGACTGAATTTCAGATTGAAACTCGAAGAAGAAGACATATTTCCAGAAATTGTAGATAAATTGTAGATTGGGAAGACTAAAACTTCTACAAATCTTCTACAATTATGTTGAAAATGCCAATAATGCTACAATTGAAATGAGAATTGGGATATTAAAATTCAATGTATCCAGTTTGTAGATATCTTATAGATAAATTGTAGATTATTTGTATTCTGATTGTAGATGCATTGTTTTCTGTTTTCGCAAATCCAAAACGACTAAAGCTTCTACAAAATCTTCTGCAAAAAATATGTCTACAATTTATCTACAATTTTTCTAATTTTTCTACAATTTATCTACAAAAGAAGGTATGTTTTGTTTATGAAAATTAACTATAGATCTGAGTGCAGTTCTTGGAAGTAGAAGACAAAACTATAGAATGCACAGACCTGTGATGAAGTCATTCTCATTCAAAGGTGTAACTTACCATCATTATAAAAAATAAAATACACAAAAGCTTCGAATACCAATATTTGAATCTCAGCGAAAGCAAGCAAAATTAGGTAATTTGTTTCATTTACTGTGATTTGCATTAGCCGGACACGACAAATAGGAAGAAGAAGCAAAGAAAGAAATTCATAACTTTTTTAAGTTACGGCTGAAGGGTCAGAAAATAATTGCACCCTTAATTATAGCGCCTAATATAAATGCACCCTTAATTATATTCCTAATTTAAATTATGGTATATAAATGGTAATTTGGTATACTGAAATGTAATTAACACAAACCTTAAACATTGAGGGTAATAAGGTTTCATATATGGTATAAGAAGGTAAAAATTCCTTTTTTAAACTTATATATAGTATATTAGGTGTAACAAAAAATGGGGCCCCTACAAATATGAGGCCTAAAGTGGTTGCTTTACTTGCTTTATGGAAGGGCCGGCCCTGGACCTACACATAAATCCTTAAGAATTAAGAATGATAAAAAACACACAAGCACAAGGATATAGAGTAAATGAAATAGAGGGGGAGAAAATTGGAGTTACCACATGCAGGGCCGAGCGAGTAACCAAGTGCCAATAGGCTTATCAATATGGGAGCAGAAGATCATCAGAAGAACAAGAGGGCTGGCGCAGCTGGGTCATCCTGGACTTGAACCAGAGACCTCGCCCCTGAAGTAAACCATCGCACCTATGGTCCAACCAATTGGGAGAAGATGCAGAGACATCTCAGTTAACATCTATATGATAACAACTCGATTTTTAGGTGCTGAGGATCAAGCTTTTGCAGGATATCAGTCAGATGTACATCAAATCTCAAATAAGTGACTGCTCATAGTGTACTGTCAATTCACAAGAGGGACGCTTGAATGATCTCATCATATACTACATTGTGTGTTGCGTGATCGTCGTTGCTATCAGCTGTTGGCGGTCGGATCAATAAATATTTCACAGAACTTGAGTTTTTTGCTCGTGATAAAGCAACATAAAGCTGACTGTGGGAAAAAACAGACTCTTGTAAATAGATATCAACAAAATCTAATGTCTGACCTTGAGCTTTTTTTATCGTCACAGCAAAACATAATCTAATAGGAAATTGTGTTCTTTTGAAAGGAATAGGTAGTTTTTCATCTTGTGAAGACAACAAAGGTATTTTGGGAATAAATACATGTGTGTTTTTCAAGTCACCACTTGCAATTTTAGCACTTATCACATGCCTTTCGAAATTACAGCATATAAGTCGTGTACCATTACATAAAACTTCACACGGATTTAAATTACGCAATAAAATAGCGGAACAATTTTTTTACAGTTAATTTATACGGAGGTAAGCCAGTTGGGTGTAAAGTATGCAAGAAATATTCATATTGAATTCGATCGGTAGTTTCAATAGTTTCGTCAAACGCTACATATGTTCTAGATTCACCCAAAAATTGAGTTATCAGCATATCATTTATTTCATCAACGAAATCATTTTTTGTTGTCAAAATGATACGAGAAGTTGTAGAAGACATATCATAAGCAGATGTATATAAATCTGGATAAGTTATTCTAAATAAAAGATTCAACGATTCTTTTTCGCTTATAAAAGGAACAATGAAACAATTAGGAATTTCAATCTTACCTTGACAATTTGTTTTTTCTTTTTCGCTGCCTATTCGCATCAAATATTTGCAAAAAGCAGGATCTGTTCTCCTTCGCATATTTACTGATAATCGCAATTTTTCAAGTTGGTTCCAGATTTCAGAACATAATAAGCTTTCTCGTATGAAATCGAGTTTGTCTGAAATCACCATCCAAAACGATTACTTTTTCACCAAATAGTGTCTTTGTATCCATTAGATCTTTCAGTAGTAAATCAAAAGCATCTATCAGTTTTTTTTGGCCATTGATACTTCATCCCACACAATTAGTTTGGCATCTCGTATCAATGATGCAAGCGAACTCTAATTACAAATATTACAGAAGAATTTTGTCAATATCAATAGGAAATTTAAAACGGGAGTGAGAAGTTCGTCCTCCAGGAAGAATTGAAGCTACAATACCAGAGGTTGCTATTGCTAAAGCTACGAATCCTTTTGATCGTACATCAGCCAATAATGCACGATACAAAAAAAATTTGCCCGTTCCTCCAGGACCATCCATAAAAAAAAAAGCTCTAGATTTATTCCTAAATATTCTATCAAGGATTACATCATATGCTTTTCGCTTCTCATTGTTCAATTTTATTTCTAGTAATAAATCTTCTTCTCTAACAATTATATTTCTTTCAAAATGAGGATCTTGAGCCTCCCTAGCAACAGATGAAGCTAAAATTCTTTCTGGTACAAGTGCAAATTCATTCATGTCACGACCCATTGGATGCAAAATGTTGTTAATATGATCTAAAGCCATACGATGAATCCGTTTCTCGTTCAAATGTGGCAAAATCTTGAACTCTTCAGACATAGAATCTTCAAATCGGTCCCAAAGTCCTTTTGGGTTAGCAGGATTACAATATACCAAAAGTGTAGCAAATAAACGTCTCAGACTATAAGGCATCTGATATCTTCAGCCTCTGACATACGGTCAATCAAGTTATTATCACATTGTAATAATCCTCGTTTTTCTGCGGCTTCTCTACATGTACTACAACATACTCCGTTTACAGTTAGAAGATGTTGGTATGATTTCGGTCCTCTAATATTTATTAATAATAATCTAAGATAGTATCTTTCCCCCTCTATTGGATGACATGTCACAATACGTTTAATAACAGTGCCATGTTGTTGACGTGTCCACATTTTATATTGTTTGGACCATACAAAATATTCTGGAAATTCTTTAGAAAGTAAATTTAATTTCTTGGCATCTTGATTTTCTCTGTTCATCAAAAAGAATTCTGTCAACATTGTTTTCCTGATCGTGGGGTTATTTATAATTGCATTTACGGTCTGTGTAATTTACAAGAAACAAATTGTTGTCCTTCAAGATGTAACTGAAGATGATAAACAGATGGAGTCATTTTGCTAATGGGAAAACCAAATAAACGCCAAGTTGCCTCCGGTGGGGATACCCATCTACCAGATTGATATTCTTTGATCTCATCTATTTCGATATGTGGATCATCAGCATGTACAGAAAAGGCAATTTTATCATGTCCCTTGCAGATATATTTATAAAGGGATTTGACAACTTTAATATCATAACAAACTTTAACATTAATATGACAGTTAAATTTGCTCAGTAGATATGAATTGTGAGGAACCACCCACGAATTGTCAAGAAATTGCCCTCTAATATTTAAATACTTGCTGTAACTTCACCTTTGGTAAATTTGGTATCCATTTTTTCCCTTTGATGTATGATTAGCAAAATCTTTTGGATATTTGAACTTGCAATATTCTCGATTCTTCATACAAGGACATTTAGGATTTAAACTACCACAAGGTCCGTACATTATATGTTTAGTAACAAGTGAATACAGGTAATCATTCTTATCAGAATCAGGCAATTCAGCACAAACAAATTTATCGTAAGCTTCCGAAGTTAACAATTTATATTCGTCTTTGAGTATGATCAGAAAATGAGCATGTTGAAGACCGTACTTTTGAAATTCAATAGTGTACATAAAAGCAGAAACTTTTCGAAATATATTTCTCTTTAGAATATCTATTTTCATCTCATCTACTTTTGCTCTAAACACACGACTAACTAAATTGGGTCTATTTTGTACTTCATCTGTTACCAATAAATGTTCTTCTATTTCTGGACAAGATGGATTACATGTCATTGTCAAAAATATATCAGGTTTTCCAAAATTTTGCACTAAAGCAATAGCGTCCATATATCGTCGGCGGATATCCCTAGGACCTTCTATAAAACTTGCAGGAAGAAAACTTTGTCTGCCAATGTTGCATGGCTCTCTCTCTCCGTGTCTTAGAACATTAGGAATGCTCGCTAACACATCAATTTGAAATAAATCTTGATCAAATGAATAGAAATCTAACCTTTGAGTCTCAAGCTTGATGGATTCGTCAACAGAGTATTGTTGGAACACTCTCCCAGCATGTAAAACTCCATTTTCTTCGTCGTCCCTAATTTGGAGCTTGTAACAGTAATACTCACGCATGACATAGTATTTCTTTTTCGTTTCTTTTTTTCCAAAAGTTCTGCTTCCATGTCAAGTAGTATGTCGGCTGAACACATGTTTTCTACACTTGGAAGCTGTTCATTTTCATAATAAGTTCCACAGCTAATAGTATTATTCGTTCGAATAATCTTTTTAATACCATAATGCCATCCGTTCTGTCCAGAAATAGTAATGGATATTGTAATGGATCATAACAACCATAGTAGTTATTTACCATTTGGCTCTTGCTACTATGTGTATAAATCCGAATATGTGGTATAGAAATACTGGAACTACTTTCATCTTCTATCCATATTGCTGCTACTTCAGATGATGTAGGTAAGTTATATGTTCTTTGATCTAAACCAGAGTCAGACTTAAGCGCAATGTAGAAGTTTGATAATTTCGGAATATCTGTTAAAGATTTCAAAAATATAGAGTATGGATTAACTTTTAATCTGTCCATCAAAGTCCTGATAACCGATTCGTTAAGCTTGTCAGAGAATCGATTTGCTAGTTCATTATCAGTATCATATAAATACAACTGTAGATTTTTTGCTGGTTGACTCAAAGGAAGGAGGTCATTTATGAAATGATACATTTTCACTTGAACTCTAAACGTATAAATACCATAATTTCTTCTTGCTAAATCTCTGTCATAATTCACTCCAAGAGAAGTAAATGCAAACATATTGTTATACAATCTAACATAAGTGCAAAAATGCTTGGGCTCCTCAGAGTTTCCTAAATAAAGATTTAGCAATTCAGTAGGCAGTCCATAGTGAATCAATTTCACTGATCCATTGTCACAGCAAAATCCCGGTGATTCATATTGAAATCTTTTGGCTCTACAAAATATACCATTTGTTACAGTTTTGAGTCTAAAAGGGCTACTGGGCAAGTCAATAGTGTTCCAGAGACACATTTTTTTAGATGTACGACCTATATATTTTAATTTACCAGAGCGAAAAAAGGTCGGTCCAGGAAAAGAAATGGCTGAAATAACTTTCAAGCTAGACGGAAATGAACCTTTGCTTGTGGCGTTACGCAAGGTAATATTATATTGTTCACTACACGTTCCTGATGTAGACCCTAAGATAAAACGAATTATCGTATAAGTCTGGGTATTGTAAGATTCTACAACTTTGAACACCATACTTTCACACTTACCAACATAAAAAACGGAAGAGCGATCATGTAGATCTTTGCCATTATCAGAAACAGTGGAATCATTAACTGTGAACACATTTACTAAAACATAACAGCAAGTTATGGGCATACAAAATATGTAAATGTTGAAATATCACATAGTTCATTCGAGGGTAACAAAATCATAGTGCACAAACCTGTTCCCAAGGTAGATGACGAGGCTCCTGTTAGAGGAGCTCTCTGCCTAGCTAACTCTTTATTAAATTGGTAGCAAGCTGATACTTCAATAGAATTACTGGTTGGATTCTACGTTCTAGAATGAAGATATGTTGTTCGACGCTCCAGTAAATTTAGTTCTCTTTTATCAGCCGACATTGCCTTATACATTTTGCAGCGTCTCTGTTTAATTTTGACGCCTCTTTCTTCAGAGCATTGACGTTTCCCTTTTTGTTTCCAGCATGTTGAATCCACAGTTTTTTAAAATTTGACATCTCGGTAATTTGGTCTGCGTAAGTTTTACATATACCAAATCAAAACTTAAGGGTAAATATATGCACTACAAAGCAATGAACATCAGCACTCATTATGGTAATAATCAACAAAACATACTAAAACAAAACATAGGTGTATGTCTTCACTAAGCTAAGTTTTCAACGGCAGGAAGAATCTTCGTAATACCATCACTTCAACACTTACTTTTCTTTTGTGAAGGTACATAAGGCTAGGTGCAAAACACTGATATGAATTGTAGATAAAACGTGCTAAAATAAAGTAATTTAGCACGCATCAAAAGTTAAAACATGAATATCTTAAATAGAAGCAAAGCTAGCAAATTTAGTTTTGCCCTCATCATTTGAACTCGGGACGTTTGACTAAGAGTGAAGAAACCATATTTACGACTCAAACTCATAATATTTTATTAAGACTTGAGAGTAAAAGATCATAGTCCTCCCATCACGATCCTTCGTGTTAATTAATTGTAGTATTGTATAGCATAATAGGGTAGCTCATTTCTATCTGTTGAACCAACCGACTATGATTTAAGTAAAATCCTATGTATCTTACATGTAACATATGACTCTTTTTAAATCTTCTATACGGTCAAAATCGTATGCCTTCGATTTATAGGCTCGAGGGTCCGTCATAGGCCCGAGTTCGGTGAGGTCGAGATTCGAGACCGATGGACCAAAATCAAGCTCGAAGACAAAGCGCAATGCCCGGAGATAGGAGTACCAGGTCAGAGTATGCCCGACTCCGAAATGGTACCGTTATGGATTTGTACCAGAGCAAGCTAGATTCCTGCCATGTCCCCAAGGTCATGGTGCGAATCCCGGAATAAGATTGTACGATTCCGTACTAGCCTACTAGGCGGTTAGACAGCTGTAACAAGAATATTCCCTACTATAAATAGAAATATTCCTTAGTTAGGGTTCCCCTGCTATATAAAGGGGATCCCAATCATTTGTAAGATCATTTGATCACTGAGAAAAGAATATACTCTACCTTTTTCGCCTGCTTTTCATCAGCATTGTCCCTTAGCTCTATTGTTCTTACTTTGCTTTTATTATTTAACTGTTCTTATAATACCAAGCCTACCTCGAGGTCCCTGGGCTCGAGGTCACTGATATTGAGTAACGCTGGTTTAATTCACTTTTCTCTTTCGTATTAGCTTCATAATTCTTCATTATTAATTGGTACTGAATTAAATCACGTATCTTTAAAACCACAAATCAAATTTAATTGTTACTCGTATTTTCGAGGTAAACAGTTTAGCGCCCACCGTGGGGCTAAAGATAATAGTAATTATTTCTTTACTGATCCTCGTTACACACATTATCTTTACACTTTTCTTGTCAAGATCTTTTGATTCTCAGGCTTAAACATGTCAAGCACACAAAATGCACCTGTTCATGACAATGAGGGTCTTGGAGAAAACAACGGTATTGTTACATCTCACGTTTTCATACGTAAAATTTCATTTTCAGTTAACCAACGTAGACTCGGGGATGAGATCATCTTGACGTTAACGTACTTACGCTATTTATAACAAGCGATATATAAGTGTTATGAAGGATAAAGGTATACACGGATTAACGAAAACGAGTTTCGTTGGGAGTGGCCAATATGGAATAAAATACGGGTCGAGCGATAATACCCGATAATTATAAACTAATACCATGCAAGGTACCATATGACCACGGTAGTATAATATATAAGGTATATTAAAATAAATAAAATTTTAAATAATTCGGGATAATTTTTAAATTATGCGGGCAATTGGTTTATTATCGGATAATAAAATATTGCCCAATTAATTAATAAGTGGACTAAATTTAATCAATTACACCGAGAGAACGTGGCAGCCCCTTTATTAGTTTTAAGGTGATTCATCAATCTCCTTTACATGTGTCAAAGTCCAAATTATAAAGTCTTATCAAGACTTTTTGTGAGCTTTATCCATTAAAATGAAAAACACTTCACTTAAGATTATTTTACATTCTGTCCATGGACTAACGTGAAAAGCAGAAGCATTAATTTGGCATTTAAGCCAAGAAGTATTTCCTTTTCGTCCAAATTCCTTAGGTTAAACAACATTCTGCCTTGGATTAACTTGGAAAGAGATTCCTTAGCCAAATCCATTTCGTCCAAAGTCCTTAGGTTAAACAACATTTTGCCTTGGATTTTAAAATCCAAGAACTTGGAATAGAAGTTGCTTTCGTCCAAATTATTTAGCCAAAGTTCAATTGGAAATTCAAAGAACAACAACAATTTTGTTCAATCCAAGCATAGGTTCGTTCGTATTTTGCAAGAAGCAGAAAGGTTCATTTTGTTCAAATAAATTCCAGGAACAGGTATGTTAAGGCTAATCTCTTCCTTCATTTTGGCATGATCTTGTCATTACACAAGTTTGATAACAAGGTTTAAAGAAAAATTCATGTCTCGGAATTTACGTATATTTTGCTAGTCTCGCAAGTTACAATATTCTCTTTATTGGGACTTCATATTCATTTGAGTATTTCATTCTTCCAGTCAAGAGAGCAGAGAGTTTATGTATACAGTATTAAAGTATTTTCATTACCATCGAGCTATAATCGATGGGCAGGCCCCTATTGGGCAACCTCTGATCAGATGGTAAGTTATATATCGAGCCTATTGTGGCCGAGCGCTTATGAGCGAGCTCAGTTTGCCGAGATGCAAAGCCTAGTATGGCCGAGCACCTATGAGCGAGCCTACTATGGCAGAGCAGTTATTAATATATCAAGCCTACTGTGGCCGAGCGCTTATGAGCGAGCCTAGTTGGTCGAGATACAAAGCCTAGTATGGCCGAGCGCATATGAGCGAGCCTACTACGCTAGAGCAGTTATATATATATACCGAGCCTTATAGGGTCGGACAACTATTTTACTTACTATATTAAGAGAGTTGAGTCAGTATCAGCAGGTAAGCATATCTTCAGATTATCTTTGACTTCCAGCTACTTGCAGTTATTATATTATCAGTTTAATTTCAGCTTTCAGTATATTGCCTTACATACTCGGTACATTATTTTGTACTGGCGTCCCTTTTCTAGGGGCGCTGCATTTCATGCGTGCAGGTCAGACAGACAGATGGGTAGGACTCTTCAATAAGTATTGCCCGAGTTCAGCTTGATCGGTAAGCTCCATGCCTTTCGGAGTTTCCAGGTCTAGAGCCTTATGTACATCTTGTATATATATGTATATAAGTTATGGGTAGGTTGGGGAGTTGTTCCGATCACAGTATATCCATCAGTAGAGGGTTGTAGACATATCCTATCAGTTAGTACAATATGTTGGGCTTGCAGGCCTTATATGTATATTTGGTTGATTTGC